CAAAAATTTCAACAATTAAAAGTACAAATGCAGCCTCCTGTTTGGACAAACTATAAACAAAACAGTTTTACATGAGACAATACTTTTTTTTTTCCAAAGGCTGGAACTGAGTGAAACATATCTCCTTCTTAAGCTGCTGTTTTGATTTCTCATGCCTGTATTCGTGTGTGTGTGTGTGTGTGTGTGTGTGTGTGTGTGTTTATGTACACATTTGTGAGGGTCTTCTATTTTTCCATCTCATAAAAACTGAGACATGCCAGGACAATAGTTAGGATGAGGCTTCTGCTGATCTGATCTTTGTTTTCACAAATAAATACAAACAACTCAAACTGAAACCCGATGGCTTTGCTGATAATACATTAGCAGCCTCGGGGAAATTTTCTTCATTTTAATGCTCTTTCACAACCCACATTCAGTTTCGGTAGGAAAATTATTAACCTTTTCAGCAGCTAAAAGAAGGGTGTATAATAGACTACTGGGTATGATATGAAGCCCTTAGTTCTATTTTTAAGATTTGTGTATACAAAAGCCCTTTTTCTTTCTTTCTTCCCTCCTTCCTTTGACTAATTGCGTCCTTCCACAATTATATAATTAGTCGCTACGTTTTTCAATCAGTTGCTCATGTTACAACGCTGACTTTTATTATGGGGAGGAGGATTCCTAATTCCCACTCTTCTTCTAGCTGGTGCTACCTAGAGGAAATGGACTTGGCTCTGGCTGGCTTCTGTAGGCTGTGAGCATGCCTCTCCCTGCTGTTTTTCACAATCCAGCCAGGCCACACTTCACGGAGGGTAGAGGGCTGGGTGTCAGGTGGCAACCCCCCTCCGCCTCAGGTAGCCTACGGTTGGTGTCTGTGAAAGGAAGGCTGGGCTGGATGGGCTTTGCAGCTCTGCAGGTCTGTGTGGCCCGGGACCTGGATGGAGGCTCGGCTGGCAGGCTTTCTCCTTCTGCTGCAGTTGTGGCTGGTTGTGTGTTGTGTGTGTGTGTGTGGGGGGGGTGTTCGTGGTCAGAATCTTGCAAGTCTTGCTTCTTCACCCGAAGCACACAAGAAGTCAGAGTCTGGAGCGGAGGCAGGGCTTGCAGTGCATGTTCTCTGAGAGAGGGTATTCACACCTTTCGGGAAGGCTGCCAGTGGGCACTAGGTTCTCCTGGTGTCTGGCCAGTCTGGGCTTCATGAACTCCCCATCACCTTGTTGGTTTTGGAAGGTCCCCACGGTCCTGCCTGTGGCCCCATCATTGCAGAGGTGACCATGGAAACTGAGGGACACAACATCTTACCTGTAGCATGTACCTACAGCTTCCTAGCTTTTCTCCCCCCCCCCCCCCCCCCCATCTCTCTTTCTCCTCCTCTTTCTTTTCTCCTTTTTCTCATACTTCCTGTACAAGGCTAGGGGTTTTTTGTTGTTGTTGTTATTGTTAGCCTCTTTTTTTTTTTTTTCTGCCTGCCCTTTTGAGCCTCCTACCTGTCTCAGGACAAGTATTTTGTTCTGTCTGGTGCCTATGCTCTGAGACTACACTGTGACCAGACTGAAAGGTGGGTGGCTTCGCATCCACCCTCCTTCTCAGGGTCACAGTAAGGTATGTGGAGCCAATGGTGTGGCTCTGCTTCCACCGAAGGGAAATGTCAAGAGTCATGGGGTCCTGCCTTCTCAGTAGGTCTATGTAGACTGGGGAAAAGAGGCAGCGATGCATGGCCGGGCTGGGGGAACAGCTCGCTGTAGGAGAAATTACCTTCTCACGGGCTTGAGAGCCCTCCAGCTGTGCAGATGTTCGACATCAATAGCAGGAGATGGAGGCTTTCCCCTCCACATTCCTCCCAAACCTTGGCTGCATTCTGAGTTGCTCACTTTTCCTGCCACTGTGGGGAATCTCTGGAAGGGCCCTCCGGCTGAGTAGCTTGAGTCAAGTTACTGAAACTAGATACCTACAGGTGACTAAGTGTGGTCCATAGGGTCTATAGAGACCCTGGAGTCTATGTTCATGACTGTTACTGGGAGCAAACCATCACGTGGCTTTTACATTTCTATTTCTGGGTGCTGTGAGGACAATCCCAGCTCCTGGGCTTCTGCCCCGGCCGCCCACCCCCGAGTTTCCAAATTAGAAGACCCCAGGGGAAGCTCGAGGGTTTGAATATGTAATGAATCTTTGGGTGATTTCGTGTTGCTGCACAGAGAATGGCCTGGCTGGGAGACCTGAACACTGAGAACCAATGTCCAGGGCCTGGGACAGCTGGCAAGCTTGGAGGGTCATGGCTCTCGATTGTTTCTGTTTTTCCTGAAGGCCGAGGCTCTTCTCACAGGTTGCAGCACAGCCTTCGAGGTGAATGCTGGTTTTCAAAGGCCTTTGGCATTTCTCTATACAGTTGCTATACAGCAAGGTGACCTATACTTTTGGCCTCTCACCAAGTCATCCGGGCAATATAAATCTGCTGAAGTGTCCACGAGGTATTGTTCTTTAAAAAATAATTTTTTATCTAGCAAGAATGGAGAAAGTAGCCAGAGGGAAGGGTGTGAAAAGATGAGACCAGAAGACAACAGGGAGACCAGACTATTAACTGTGGACCCTTTGCCTATTTGCACCTTTGCTATAGACTGAGGCAATCTTTTGAGGTCCCTAAGGACTGGTAAAAGGTGAGCCAGCTTGCAGGACCCTTGAAGCTCTGGTGTTTGAGTTACTTGTGAGCATCTGGCCATTCCAGGACACTCAGAATGCAGTGACCAGGATGCTGAGTGGGAAACTGGGAGTGGCTGTCAGGCTCCACCTGCTGAATTTGGGGATTCCCGTGCTTTTGGCTCTTCCAGCTTGGTAAGAGATGGCCTTGGCACATCCTTCCGAAAGGACTGACTCCAAGCTTTCATGAAAACACACGTCAAGGACACTCTGGCAGATGGGATGCCCATCCTCAGGGGTGAATGACAAGCTGGGTGTGTTGGGAGAGCTTTGGGAGGGCTCAGGCTCTGCCGTCAGGGAGTTGAAAGCCTCCATACAGCACACGGTCACTTTCTGGGCCAGGTGTAGTTAATAACAGTGCACGGAGCACTCGTTTCTGGGAGGAGTCCTCACCCCGCAAAGGCTCTAAACCTGCTCGGATCCATGGCTGTAGCTCTGGACACAGGAAACCTGTTGAGAGACAAGACAGGGGCACCTCAAGGGTTCATGCTTCACTAACTGTATGGACACCTCTGGGTTGAGGTGCATTCCTGGTCCCCTGTGAGCACTCGTCTTCAGTATGCGTGGCTCTAGGCTTTTCATCACATCTTTGGGGAAAATAAAGCTGTGTATTCATGGTGGGGCTGAGGAGTTGCTAATGGTGAGTATTAGAGATCCTTTGGACAGCAAAGCTCTCCAAGGCAGAGAGTCACATGGCCCCACATTCAGCCATCAGTCCATTCTGGGGAGGCCTGGGTGGTCCCTACTCACTTCCAGTGTCCACTAGCTTATGGAAAACATTCTTGAGATTTGCTTAGAACTAGGAACAAACTACTTATGGTACCCAAATGGACTAGCCTGGGCTTTCCCAGTGATAACTAGCTAGCAATCCAGCGTGGGGTCCACAGGAATTGGCTTCATCCACGCAAAAGCTCCCAGGCCGGCTAGTTCAGGGCTTGCAGTGGTGAGCTGGAATTCAAGAAACTTAGCTTTGGCCACTAGCCCGTGGGAACTAGGTGGGAAAGACCCGAGTCCTAGTCCAGCTGTGCATCTTCCAGCGTGGCCTTGGGAAGGGTGTCCACTTCCCCCTTCTGTGTGCCTGGCCTGCTTTGTCTATAAGGCCCTATCACCTTGCCACAATTTCAGTACCCACATGGCTGGGCATGCCATATTGCAGCCGCCTGGGCTATTACATTTGGGTTCTGCATTCCACTCAGAAAGAGGCAGGCCGGTGAGGACGGGGCAGTCAGCTATCTCTGCTTGGCCGGTAGAACTAAAGGAAGCCAGTTTCTCCTTCCACCCGTGACAGCCACTGGTGCGTCACCCAGTTCCTGTTTCTCTTCGCCCACCCAGGAAGGCACTGCAGATGAAATCCAGGGCCAGATGGCGGATACTGCGAGCCTGGTCAGAAAATGCTGGCTCACAGGACACAAAACGGGAAGCTGGTTTTCCCAAAAGATTTATGGGGGGTGGGGAGCAGGCGGGTGCTGTTCCCATTGACTGTGTAGGTGCCCCACAGCCAGGTTCTTCAGTGCCCAGAAATGTCCCCACTGCCACTGACATGAGGAGCCTTTTAAGGAAAAATAAAGGCGCTGATTTATCGCAGCTGCCAGTCTCAAGAGCCTGGACCCTCTGACAGGCTTTGTTCTTAGTGACCTGCAGCCCAGAGCCGGTCCTTAGAAGGCTAGCCAGAGCTCAATGGCTGGGCAATCTGCCCTCTGTGGTACTTCCTAAGTCCACGCAGCAACAGCCCGCTTGTTGGGAAACACACAATGCGTCAGTCTGAGCAACTTTCCGTATTTCCTACTTCTCGAGTCCTTTGTACGACTATGCATTGTGAAAGGGGTCTCTTGGGGAAGCATGGAGGTATTCCAAAAATCATACAATCCCCCCTCCGATGTTGCAGAAAAATGTGGGTCACTAACAAAGGGCCTTCGGGTCAGTGTAGCTGGAAACAGTGGCCAGCTTAGACTTGACCTTGCTCCCACGGGGACATTGTCTCCCACCAGCTCGTGGAAAAACTGCTCCCTCCTGGGCACGTGTGAGTAGCAGATCTGAGCGCAGAGCCAGCTCTGTGGGTCTACAGTATGCCCTGTGGGAGTGTGGCACCATCTGCCTCTCTCTACTCTGCCTTTGGAAATACCCTTTCACTCCTTTGGGAGAGCTGAGCATGCGATCTGCAAACAGGGGTGCAGCTTGGGAGGCCGACCATGGGGGCCTCAAGCGTCAATGCAGTTATTAATAGAACCCCGGTCTCTCTGAAATTTTTTGCCAGCCCTGTACCCATCCTTGCAACCTCTGCTTGGTTGTGTGTGCAGAAGGGCTTGCCTCATTTTTTCCTTGCCTCCTAGGAAGGCTACTTGGCACAAGTTCAAGTGAGCCCACAGTTGCTGTCTTCAGAGTCGAAGAGAGGAGAGGTCACTAGAGGCTCTGCACCTCCATGGACTGGAATTCCCACCAGTGGCTTTGCTTGAGGTTGCTCTGGGTCCCTGGGGGTAGGACCTGATGTGTCTTCTGAATCCAGCAAAAATCAAGAATACACACAAGTGGAGCCTCATAGCTCCTGGGGCATCAGGCCCCATGGGGAAGCCACAACAGGGTGGCCCCAAACAAGACAGTGGGATTCTGAGAACATTTGCCTCTTTGATCTCCCCTGAACGGTCTTTCAAGGGTTGTTACATCTCACCCCCACCCTCCAAATTCACAACGTGAATAGATGTGCTATTGACTTGATCCCATGCTCACGGTGGCATTTACGATCGCTCTCCCTTTTCAGTTTTCATGTTCTAGAGTGATTGTCTCAGTGCGGTTGGCAGTGACCTATGTTTTTCTTGCATATTTTTGTTTCAGAATAACTGGGAGCTGAAACAGGAAACCCCATGACACAGTTGATCGAAAATGACACAGACACAGAAAAACCAGGACGTGCCCCCAGCAGCTCCTCTACCTGCTGATCGCAGCTGGAGGCAGGTGCAGGGTTTCCCTCTGGGAATGGACTGTAACTTCTGGGGGCGCTCTGGTGGACCCCCATACCCGCTGCTGATGGGCCTGCAGTATTTTGGTGATGGTCATCTTTGGTTGGTCTCTCATTTTTCGGGCCCTCTCTCATGTCTTAATCCTTCCTTCATTAAAAGCAAAACTAAAGAAAATGGAATAGCCTGTTAATTAGCTATACAGAAACACTAAAGGTCTCTGACCTTGAACTTCGGGGAACTTTCTCTGAGGCTGCTCTTCAAGATCATCACGACCACACAATATCACATCTTTAAAAGTGCACTGAGCTAGAATCTCAGCCATGTTGGTCCTGTGAGAAGCTTTCTGGAAAATCTCTCTAGGCTAACCCAGAGAACACCCTCAACTTTGAGCTTCAATCGAAAACTCCAACTTTCTCCACATCCTCCCCTCTCCTCCCACATACATCACTGATTTGTAGGTTCAATCCATAATAATTTCTTTGGGGCCTACTGTATGCCATGTTCTGGAGACAAGATGGGAACAGCCTTTGCCCCCACGACCCTGGCATGTGTAGCCTACTTAGAAGGAAGCTTAGCTCAGGAAGTGAAGAACTGGGAGGTTGCATGGGTATCATAGACATTTCATTCAGATGTCCTGACTTCCCAAATCCACTCCTCCATTCTGAGACCCTGTGACTGTCACTGGAATATCCTCAGAAGTAGCTAAATGGCCACTCATTCCTTCTACAGAGGTCTCGTCTCATCCTCTAACTGTGAGCTGGGAAGGTCTCCAAAGAGGCCATTTGTAGTCACTGTCCAAGAAGTCTGTTAGTTTTCCCTTGCAAGCTGAGCAGAAATCCAATAATAACTCAGTGGCCATGTCCGCTATATGCTTCTCAGCATCGGTTTGCTGCTTGGCCATGGGGCTCATCACAGAAGCTTTGGGTCAATGACCCATGGATACTGTCCAGGTCTCATTCAAATGTTCAGACTCCAGGAAGCCTTCCTGAACACTAAGTCCCAAGAGACACCCTCACCCCTGCCATTTTGTCACTCTTTTTTTTTTCTTTTTTTGCATAGGGTTTAACTAGCATTAGAAGGTGATCGTCGCCGTTTATCTATTGTCTGCGCGTCTCCCAGCCCTCCCCAGTTTCCTCTCTATAGAGGCAGATGTGCTGCTGTCTTAGCGCCAAGCCTGTCCACGGCCTCTGGCACTCTGGACAGCAGACATGTGTTGCATAGGTCCATCGGCTCCTGGCTTCTCAGCAACAGCCATACCTGTGTCCTAATCACACAGCGAGGAGAAGGAGAAGCCCCCACCTCTGCAGCTAGATGGTGGATAGGTCCAGGCTGTCCTTCGGCACGCCGATCAGTAGCAGGCGTGGGTCACAAGCCCTCCCCAGTCTTCATACCCAGGTGCTCATCCGAGCCAGCCTTCTCCTTGCTTACCATGTCCTCGGGTCCAAGTTCATTTGATTATGTCCCTGGAAAAACAAAAATCATTGAGTCGTGGAAGAAATAAGGCTTCAGTGGGGTGTCTCCGGCAGCAGCGTTCCTCAGAGGAATGCCCCGTGCGAGCCCCGTTTGCTTCGGCTCTAGCAGAGAAGGAAGCAACGTGGAGGGGTCATACAGGGAGCAGACACGAAGGCCCCAGCAGTGATGAGGAGCTTAGACTCTTGCAGAGGTTTGCGCATGCGCCCTGCAAAGACTCACACAGTCTTCTCTGGGTGTACCCCTCCCTGGCACAATGGGCTTCCACCAGCAGGCATGTCTCCCCGAGACAGCCTTTCCTCTCTCAAATAGAACGAAGCCCATCCTGTGCTCATTGCCCCACCGCTACTCAGTAGGATGTTTGTGGTCTCAACAAGAACAAAAATGGGAGTCACCAGCTTCATGAAGACCAGAAATAACCCATACAGCATTCACGGGATAATTCACTTACAAGGATAATAATTAAAAAAAAAAAAGTGAAAGAGAATTGGCCATATAACTTTAGATCCTATTAGGACAAAACTCTGACCCTGACCAGAGGGGAGAATTACTCACAAATTATATATAAAAACAACAATCAAAAAATGCAACACATCCAGAACGCACCTGGATCCAAACCATGAGAATTTGGAAGTAGGAAGCATGAGAAACAAACACTGACATCTTAGAATTCTCCTTGAGCATGTTTAAATTTTTATCGTCTTGTATACAATAAGCTTTCTGCTTACGTGTATGTCTGTGTGCCGCATGTGTGCCTGGTGTCTGTATACCACATGTGTGCCTGGTGTCCGAGGAGGTCAGGGACAATGTTGGATCCCCTGAGACTGGAGCTACAGATGGTTGTGACCTGCCTTGTGGGTGCTGGGAATTGAACCTGGGCCCTCTGGAAGAGCAGCAAGTGCTCTTAACCACTGAGCCGCCTCCCTGGCCTCCACACACATTTTTAATGCTTAGCCAGGACTGAGCTTCACAGGTCCAGGATCACCTTGTCTGTTCCCATATCCTTCGGCTGATGCGGCCACTGGACCACATACAACTGAGGATCTGAACTTTTAATTTGTATAATTTGAGTGTCTCCTGCGGCTGCAGCTCTCATATTGAACAATCCAGAAGAGAATACATACCTACCATGGAAAGGCAATGTCAGGAGAGGTACAGGAGCTAGCCTGGCACATGGGAGCAGCTCCTATCTATAAGGGAAACTCTGGCAGACATGCAAGGAGTTTGAGCTAGCTCTCTCTGCCTGTGAACTTTGCAAAGCTCTGTCCTCCTATCTCAAACGTCTATCTGTATTTTGAGCCAAGGCTTTGGGCAGCACCAAAGGAAATGTTCCCTGCAGGAGACAATTGAACATAACTTAAAATATTCTGCCAAGGCCTGTCCTTTGTTGATCATTTGAGACAGTGCTTGCACATGCCTCTTTGGAGACCCAGCCCTAGGGAGGGAGCCCTCTGAACCTAACAAGTGTATTACTGTAATCAAAGAACTTAAGAAATTTGGGAGAAGAGTAGTAGAAGTGTCACCAGGATTCACAGCTTTTGAAATGGGCTCAGGTGGAGCTGGACAGACCATCCTGGACCGTGCCTAGACGCCACACGGTGACTCACAGTCATCTGTAACCCAGTGGATCTGACGCCCTCTTCTGGCCTCAGTCGGTACTGCACTCACTTTACACACATACATACATGCAGGCAAACATACTTATACACAGAAACTTTAATTTAATTTAATTAAAAACAAAACAAAACAAAGACCTCTCAGGGAGAGGGCTGAGCCAGCTCTACCAGTGTGGGGTTAGAAATGAAGAGACAGAAGCCAAAGCTGAATCATTTTCTTCTTATCACTGAGAGTGTCAGATTTCTTTCTATTTTTTTTTTTAAGTTGAAGGGAAAGCACCTTAGACAGAGAATAATACTATTTTGAATTTCAGAGCTTTCCCTTTTTGAGCACTTTATCATCTTGGGCTTGTTTTGCTCTCACACTGAGGCCCTCAGATCCGCAGTGGAGGAGCGCTGTTTGAACGTCCCTGAAAAGAGTTCAGTCTTAAGGGAAGAGTTAAAAAGTGAAGGTTTGGGTTTTCACATCCTTGATCACACTCAAATGCTTAGTGGCATAACTGAAAGACAATGCACAGAGATTTTTTTGTTTTCCCCTCCAGTAGGTTGGGTTTCTAACCAGCCTACCCATGATGGGCTGTGTTTCACCTCGCTCTTCTTACCCTCCGTCTTTGACTCTGGAGACGACGTTTCTTCATCAGAGGCCTGTGTGGCCTGTGAGTTTGATTAATATGACTTCTGTGTCTCCTTGCAAGATATCTTAAAAACGACAGGGGGGGATGAAAAGTAGCAAAAAGCCATGCTGCTCTCAGTGGAAACCAATCCTTTCTCAAGGGTGCCATCCTTGGGGTCCAACATTGGGCTAACGCTGCCACCACTCAACCTCCTGGTGGGTGGAGTGGCAGTCATTCCAGACCACACTTGACAATGGAAGAAAGCACTCAAGAATCTGAGGTCTCCTGAGGGGCCTTGTCAGTGGCTCAGCAGGACTGCCATGAGGTCTTGTCTGGGCAAATGTGAATCCTGGTCTCACCGTCACCGAGCCCACCTTGAAACATACATAGATAGGATAGTAGGAGAGGTTTTCAGATGCTTTACTGAAAGCAAGACTCTCTGGGGCATTCCCCTAATCGCCTGTGCTGGTGAAGCTCGTCAAAACAGGAAATGAGGTTAGCATGGAATGACTTTCTCTCAGAGAACTTCTGTTGCCTCCTAGAGACCACCATATTCTTCCCAAAAGTTCATGCTCCAGTTTCACACCTTTCCCAGGCCTTCCTAGAAACGGGAGTCTCTGGGTTTCTGCGGGCCCTTAGAACTGGTTCCTTTGGGAAAGGTCTGCTCCCAGCCTTTCGACTTCTTCCTCTCACTCTCACAATAGCATCTCAGAAATGTTTGTAGGTTGGCGTGAAGCTAGATCTGCATATATGCCAACCACAGCAAGACTGTGGTTAAGCTGAGGGCCCTGCGCACACCCAAGGTGGAAGGTTTCATATGTGGCATGGGCTGTAGGCAGCTCCTTCCAGAGCGGGCTCTTTGATCCCACGTTTTCACAAAGATGCCAGGAAGAGGAAGCATCCCAAAGGTATGAAAATGTCCACAGCAACGATTTCTCCTCCCTTGCTCCAGAGGCAGCATTTCAAGTCAGAAGGAACCAGGCTGGCTCCCTTCAAGTGAAGCCTACTGAGTTCTTTGAAGTCTCACAGACTTGGCAGGATCTCTTGGTTATCTTTGCTGAGGCTTTCTGGCAAAGGGCTCTAGTGGAACTTTCTAGAGCCACATATCTTTTTCCTAATACTAACGTGCTTTTAAAGTCAATTTGCCTTTATATAGCTGAGGGAAAGTGTGGCCTTGACTCACAATGACTAAGTCAGACTGTAGTTTCCAAATGCTATGCCCGAGTTACCTCTTAGCATACATCTGTCTTCTCTCCTCTGGGTTCTCACTTCTGTAATCATGAGTGCGATTTTATATAGACACATTCACACACACAAACATATATATACACATATATGTATACACACACACACACACACACACACACACACATATATATATATATATATTCATATATACTTGACTTGGTAGAATCTCAGCCTGAGTTCAAGGCTGGAATGGATCACAGATCACCATTTTTCTTCAGGCCAGGTC